GGCATGGAGAGATGCAGCGGCTGGGGACTGTAGACCCAGAGAGGGACTGTAGACCCAGAGAGAGGCTGTGTGCTGATGACTGGGGAGCAGGCTTGCAGGGTGTACCCTTTGGTTGGTTGGTTGATGCATGGAGGGGATTGTAACCAAGGCAAGGAAACAATATACGATAGGATGAATGTAAGGCTAATGTTTTCCCATGAAAACTGTCACATAATTCACAATAAAACAGTGTCTGTTAGGACCACAGGACAGCTGGTAAATGTTGAGTCTTGGGGTTCTGTCAGTCTAGAGCTGATACCACCTGAATCTAGGCACCAAAGCAGTGCACAAAAGAGCTATAATCAGCTTGTGCCTCACACTGGTGTGGCTCCCAACCATGTGGTTATAAATTCCTGGAGAGCAGGGTCTGGTCTAGGGGTGGATGCAGGTAGGAGTTGATCATCTCTCTGGTTACCACACGAGCATGTGGAAAAAGAAGAAATTGCACTTTTCCTGTCACCTGTGTGCATCTGCTCTACCAGGCCATCCTCTGTTGTCAAAGCTGCTTACTAGATGATTGTGCTACCTCTGGTAGGCTGTTCACAAGTCAGTCTCCCTTACTCACCATCCCTGCTCAGCCTCTCCTCTCAGCAAGCACTCAATCCACTTCTCTAACCTTCCCTCTGAAGTGAAGGGTGCCAGAATGTGTTTGTTTCATTTGGTCCCTCGTATCTTTGTTGTAGAGGGTCTGGGTAGTGTGACTGTCTAGTTGAATTTTTTTTACTGGTTCCATGAATTTTTGAAGGTCAGAAATTTCTTACCAATAAATGCTGACCTGACAAAAGAGTGGCAGCTGATTTTTAAAGTTCATAGTTGGAATATGCCCACAGACTCAGGCTAACTACCTTCCTGCCATAAGGTAGTTTTATTAAAATATGGCTTAGATACTGCAAACTCCAGAACATAAAACTCAAAATACTCTTAGCTGAGAAAGTTGCACATAAAGTAGACAAAGAAAACATTCAAAGTTTAAACGTTGAAGCATACTGCCTGTTAGATACCTATGAAACCTGCTCAACTATAATTATAATTTCCTACGTACCTAAGTCCGGATGTGGCTCTGTGAGCTAATGTGTCAGATGGCAAAGTCATTTGAACTGCAAGGTTGGCGGTTCAAGCTCACCAGCTGCTCCTTGGAAACCCTATACAGGGTCACTATGGGTCAGAATTGACTCGACGGTGCTTAACAATAACAACAACAACATACCTAAAGCTATTTATTTGTGTAAAGGGACTTCAAAACATTCATGAAACATGAAATTAAAAGAGAATGGAATTTTTCCATGAACTCTGAAACCCCTTCATATTTCAGTCTTGAAAATATTAATTTATCTTTTGTTGGTACAACTCAATATTTTAAAATC